ACTAGCCCAGCATCCTTCAGGATCAATGGGAAGATGGGTTTAGGACATACCATCAATCAATTGCTCAGGCCCTTTCTGATGCCTGACATTTTAGCCAATGAACTGTGGTGTCCCCACAGGGGTCGATCAATTCAACACCTTTCATGAAGTGCCAGGAGAGCCCATGCAGGCATCTGTGTCGTGCCATCCATGTGCAGCTTCTACAGAAGCTCTTTGTGGTCTGAGCCACTGACTCAATGGGAGCTAAGGAAGGAAGCTGAGAAGGAAATTATGCTTATTAAGCCAACGCTGCATTTGTTCGCATCCAAATCTAGATACAAAACAGGTGGTTAGAAAATACAAAACACCGAAGTGGTTTGATTACAAGCACTTTGGGCACTTGTATTTAGAGTCCTTTTTAAGTGTCATTTCATTACAATCTTTTCTATAGCCTAGTTAAAATCCATTTGTTGTGCTTGGAATTTTAAGGATTTTTACCTGGAAACACTATTTTATCTCTGAAATGCTCTTCTTTCAATTACCTGATTTTGAATGTTGTTTTTTTTAAATGGTAATTAATTTGGTTATTTAGCTAGTTTTGAGCAGTCCAGCATAACACAAAAGTATTTGGAAAGATGAACTCCAAAAGTTTGAAGTAAAAGAAAGGGCTACTCCTTTTAATTCTGATTAAGTGTCTGTTACTTTTCCCTTTTTCTTGACCTTTTTCTTAGCATCACTGTTAATGTAATTTAAGTGTCAGCAGGTGGAAACTCTCTCAGTGTTCTGTTTCAAGGTTGCAGGTACACACATGCAGACAGAGTTATTAAGGAGAGAAAATATTTACTACAGTTTATGCAGATAATAGGGTTGTAATCCAAATAGCTAGCAGAGAGCGCTTGCCTGAAAAATGCCAATTACACTCCAAGAAGCAAGAGAGTAGTCCAAATACATTCCAAGAGTCACAGAATGCCAAATCAGGTTCTCATCTGGTCCAAGAGTGAAGATTTCACAAACAAGAAGCAGGAATAAGAGTCACAAACTGGGATACTGAACAGTTGTTTCCAACAAAGACTGAAAGCAAAGCAGCTACACAGCTGGCTGCAATTACTCATGTCTCATCCTTTGCCTGGCAAGGAATCTCACTGAAGAGCATTGCTCTGTTCACTGCAGCATGCATCTAGACCTGGGGCTTGGGGGTTGTGCCTCATCATCTGACTGCTCCAGCTTAACAGGAGATGCCTGTGGCTGATCAGCCTCAAATGAATCCTGGCTTAATGATTCCTGAGGCTGACAGCCTGAAGCTGACAATCCATAGGCTCAACTGGAGCAACATCATCAGAGTCAGGTTCAGAGTCAGATTCTGAATCTTGGTTCCTAACACTCAGAAGCTAACTAGGGTCAGTCCGGCTTAGTATGGCATTTCATTTGTTTGTTAGTTAACATATGACTGAGTGGCTTCAGACCTACAACCGGTAGTAATGTTAAAAACATGTATGGTGTTTGAAATCCCATGAATGTTGGCTAGTGGGAAATACAAAAACCTTACCAAAATAAGCAAAGATAAGCCACTTTCATAATGCTGCTAAGAAACCTTTATCAATGCTATCCTATTTTGTTATAAACGATCTCACAAGAGAAGATACTGAAGTGTGAATTACTTCTCATAAGTTTGTCTCAACATAGATATTTAATCTAGGTGTTTCTCCACAAGAGCCTTGAGAGGTAGGCTGAAGCTAAGCGTGACTGCTCAGTGACTTGAACCCTAGATTCCCCATTCCATGTTACTTAGAAACAGCACTATTATATTCTACACTGAACACCAGAGCAAAACAGGCTTCATCGAAATGGCACCCAGCATCTTTTCTGATGTTTCTTCTCCTACCTGAGTTGGAGGTTCAACCACTCTTTCAGCTCCACTAGAAAAAGCAGATGATCCTGTAGAAATCAACTGTATTGTTCCATTCCCTGTAAGGGAGGCAAAAGTGGTAGAAGCAGGTTTTCTAAAGGCATAATTAATAAAAAGGGGAGAAATTACCCACCAGAAGACCCAGAGAATGAAAGAGCTCGGATCTCTGGGGAAGTTCACAGCCCTTAGAGTGACTTCCGTTACCTGGTGAGCTGTCCCAACTTTGATCTTCCTGGGAGATCCCTCTGAAAAGTAGCTCTTGAGAGGAGTTTGAAGGATTCTTCCTTTCCTCAAGGTGGCTTCTGACAGCCTCCAAGGAGGGTCCCTGGATATGATGCATCAGGAGAAGCAAAGAAGGGGATACAAGGGAATAGCACAGGAGAACAGGAGTCTATTGTGTGTCCTCAACTTTGCGGACCATAATATCCAGTGGTGTGGACAGAAAGGGATAATGGAAGAACTGCCTCAAATACATCCTCTGGTATGGGCAGCAGAAGAATTTACATTAAGAAGCAAACACCTTCCATTAGTAACATTAGAAAACTACTGTGGAATCAAAACGCAGGACCCAAAGCAAATAATCAAGGCTGACTGCAGTGTTTATTAGACAGTACGTACTGGAGGGGACCCCACCAAAGGATAGTGAGTGATACCCCTGCGAACAAAAGAGATGCACTGATATTTATACATTTCAGGAAAAAAGGAAAGATGATGCAGGAATGCATAAGTAATAGGTCTCAGGTTACTTCCTGCCCTTCTGCTATCTTTGAAGAAACCAATTGTCTTAGAAGAAACAGGTCAAAAGGAGGGGGCAAATGCCATGATAGATTCATGGGTTGCCATGGAAATGTTCTAAGATTTACAACAAGCTGGTGTGAACTAGGTGATAAGCCAGCTCCAAGGCTGTTGTAAATTTCTTATGTTTCAATTGATTTAAGCACTCCCATTCATCTGAAAACTCATTCAAACTTATTTTCCTCACCATACAAAGACATTTAAGAATGCAAATGTAAGGTTAAGACCCTTTTTGAGCTTCCAAAATGGGCTGGATGCATCCTCCCTGTCCATGAATGGCTTCTTTCATGGTGCAAATAACTTTGTACTCTACTTCCCCTCTGAATTCTACTCTTCTTAGGGACATAAAGCATTTAGGACTGGAATAACCAAAGGCCATTTATCCCTTTGGGAAAGTCCATGCTAATGAAACACAGTGGTTTCGGCCTCCCCTCAGCTGTGGGACTCCCTAGGTGCCTTTGGACTGGTTCTTCTTTCAGCCCAGGCCTCCTTGTGGGACTGTCACTGTTAGAAGAAGAGGAGGAAAGAGGGTGTCCCCACCTGGTGCTCCTGAAGGAAACTGTAAATGTAGAAAAAAGAAATGAGAGACTAAGTAAATCCTTGGGTACCACTTAAAGGCCAAATGTACCTTCAGGTTGTAGAAAGTTGCAAACATTTCAGTCCTCTGGTTCCTGTTTCAGTGCTCTGATGTAAAACAAAATGATTGCTGCATGGCTTCTCTCTGTATATGTAAAATTACATAATTATGAAAATTCCAAACAAATTCCATGCATTTCTGAGGAATGTTCCCATGTTTTATAGATTCTGGTTTCTGTCCTTTGTTGCTTCATTTAAAGGTAGATCTGCTTTACTAATGCTTTTCTCATATTCCACAGATTTCTATGCATCATTGTCTGCATAGTGTGAATTTTTTGATACTGAATAAGATCTGAACTCATTCCACTTCTTTCCACTACTTTCTAACAGTCTATTCAACTACTCTCCCCTCACTAAAGGTTCTCCCTCATATTCTTCTGGTTTCTTTCTTTAGTTTTTTTCCTCCATGTATATTAAGTAGGGGCATCATTTGCACTATGCAATAACTGGTCTCAATAATTTACTATATTAACCCTTTAAAATGAGAAATATAGTTAATAATCAGAATATACCAAAACATTTTTAAAAGCTATATTAAGATAAAAACCACAGAGGATCACAATCATGTCAGCAAGATGAGGTTTCTCAAATTTGCAATGCCATGGACCCCTAAAATTTCAAATAGGATTGACCTTTCTCATCACCTTGATATCACAAAATAATACAGTGCCAGTAAAGTGACATTGAAAACCTTGAGAAATGCAGTGGTTTGGGAATTGAACACAGAAAAAAAAATTCCATACAGGATTCTCTTGAGCTGAATGGTACTTCTTGATGATAAAGGGTTAGAAATATGGTTCTAGTTGCTTTACTCAGAGTACTGAAGACATAAAGAGAAATAGTTTGAACTCTCTCCCTTTTTAAAAAAATACTGTTCATGTGGTATGCTGTTGGATCAATAAAATCATTTTTAAACTAAAGAGGCAACAGGTGCATTCATAAACTCACTGACTGCTCTTCTGCTTTCAGCAGGATTAATGAAATTTTGCATCCAGACATCTACTAAGCTAAACAGGCATATAAACATTTGGGTGAAATTTTCACTAATAAACCACAGCTATGCACATCAGATTATCTCAACAAAGCATCAATAGCTCAAATATTTCACTAGTATTTCAGTCCCAATATTTTCAATACAATAAGAGCTAAAATATTCATATTTTCCCCTGCTTTACTTGCCTATGTCAGCTGTCCACAAAGCCTGGAGCCTGATTCCAGACTCATTTCAGATGTTGCATCTGCCTAAAGCAGCTTCACCAGGCAGAGGTTCTGAGAAGTTTTGGCTGAATGAGAGGAACAATAAATTCTCATGAGCTGGATCTAACTGACTAGGTAACACCTCCAGATTAAGAAATCTATCCTGGGGAGCTCTTTCCATAATCCATACATTTATTCTGTTTCTCCTATGGCCATCCTCCAAAAAAAGAAAGACTGGTCACCTCAACCTCTTTCCACAGGATCCTTAGAATAGATCCTTTTATGGGAGGTAAGGTAGCTCAACAGGCTGACTCTCTTTGTGATCCACAGATTTATACTGTCCCTCCTATGTGAAACTTTCTGGGAAATAAGAAAGTTCCTTGTACTGAAGTTTTTACTACACTTCTTCCACTTATATAGTTTCTCCTTTCATGGAAAGTAAGACTCCAGCTGTGTCCTCTCCCAGACACAGGTTTATGTGGTTTCTCCCATGTGGATCCTTTCATGGGAAGTAAGAGAATTACTCATGCTGAAACTCTTCCTATCCTCCTTGCATTTATAGGATTCTTCTCCCAAGTGGATACTTCCTTCTCAAGCCATTCTCATGTTCTATAAATTATTAGGTTTCTCCCCCACGCATCTCCAATACCTTATTCACAGAAAATAAGGTTCCTACTCCACTTGAAAGAAACAGTTTGGTGTAGCGGTTAAGGCTAGAAACTAGGAGACCATGAGTTCTGGTCCTGCCTTAGCACGAAGCCAGCTGGGTGACCCTGGGGCAGCCACTCTCTCTCAGCCACAGGAAGGAGGCAATGGCAAACCACTTCTGAAAAACCTTGCCAAGAAAATTGCAGGGACTAGTCCAGGCAGTCATCAGGATTCAAAACTACCTCAAAGGCACACACACACATACAAAAAAAAAAATTCAATTGAAGCTCTTCACACACTACATGCATACATGCTATTTCCCTCATAGGGAGTCTTTTAAGAGAAATCAGTTCACCATTCTTGAGTGAAGCTCTGTTTGCAGTCCGTGCCTTTATGTGTTATATCACAGTGGATCCTTCTACAGGAATTAAGGACACTTCAGTCCCTAAACACAATTTTCTCCTATGGAAAGGACCTGCATGGTTGACAGTTCCACCTGAAGTTCTTTCCATATATTATGCATTTATATTTTTTTCCCCTCTGTAGTTCCTGTTATTAGAACTAAGGCTCCTATTTTCACAAAAACTATTTCCACATTCAGAGCATTTCTATGGTTGCTCCCCTGTGTGGACCCTTTTATGGGAAGTAAGGTCACTGCTTGTGCTGAAGCACTTCCCACACTCTATGCATTTATATAGTTTCTCTCCTGTATGGATCCTTTTATGGGAAGTAAGATTACAGCTTGTGCTGAAGCTCTTCCCGCACTCTATGCATTTATATGGTTTCTCTCCTGTATGGATCCTTTTATGAGAAGTAAGGGAACTGTTCATACTGAAGCTCTTTCCACATTCTGTGCATTGAAAAGGTTTCTCTCCTGTGTGGACCCTTTTATGAGAAGTAAGGGAACTGTTCACACTGAAGCTCTTTCCACATTCTATGCATTGAAAGGGTTTCTCTCCCGTGTGGACCCTTTTATGAGAAGAAAGGTCACTGCTTGTGCTGAAGTTCTTCCCACACTCTGTGCATTGATAGGGTTTCTCTCTTGTGTGGACCCTTTTATGAGAAGTAAGGGAACTGTTCATACTGAAGCTTTTTCCACAGTCCATGCATTTATAGGGTTTTTCCCCTGTATGCATAGTTTTATGGGAAGTAAGTTGATTCCTCCACATGAAGTTCTTTCCACATAGCATGCAGGCATATTTTTTCTCTCCCGTATGGATCCTTTTATGACAAGTAAGGGAACTGTTCATACTGAAGCTCTTCCCACACTCTATACATTGATAGGGTTTCTCTCCTGTGTGGACCCTTTTATGGGAAGTAAGGTCACTGCTTGTGCTAAAATTCTTCCCACACTCTATGCACTGATAGGGTTTCTCTCCCGTATGGATCCTCTTATGAGAAATAAGGGAACTGTTCATACAGAAGCTTTTTCCACACTCCATGCACTTATAGGGTTTTTCCCCTGTATGCATCCTTTTATGGGAAGTAAGTTGATTCCTCCACCTGAAATTCTTTCCACACATCATGCATGCATATTTTTTCTCCCCTGTGTGGATTCTGTTATGGGAAGTAAGGGAACCACTATGACTGAAGCTCTTTCCACACTCAATGCATTGATAGGGTTTCTCTACTGTGTGGACCCTTTTATGGGAAGTTAGATGAGTTTTCAATCTGAAGCTCTTCCCACACTCTGTGCACTGATATAGTTTCTCCCCTGTGTGGATACTAATGTGATTAGTAAGGGAGCTGCTTGAAATAAAACTCTTCCCACATTCATTGCACATATAAGGTTTCAATCCTGAGTGGATCCTTTTATGGGAGGTCAGGTGACTGCTGTTGCTGAAGCTCTTTCCACACTCTATGCATTGATAAGGTTTCTCTCCTGTGTGGACCCTTTTATGGGAAGTAAGAGAACCACTATGACTGAAGCTCTTTCCACACTCTACGCACTGATAGGGTTTCTCTCCAGTGTGGATCCTTTTATGAAAAGTAAAGGAACTATTCATACTAAAGCTTTTTCCACAGTCCATGCATTTATAGGGTTTTTCCCCTGAATGTATCCTTTTATGGGACGTCAGGTGATTGCTGTTGCTGAAGCTCTTTCCACATTCTGTACATTTATAGGGTTTCTCTCCTGTGTGGACCCTTTTATGCGAAGTAAGAGAACCACTATGACTGAAGCTCTTTCCACACTCTACACACTGATAGGGTTTCTCTCCGGTATGGATCCTTTTATGCAGAGTAAAGGAACTGTTCATACTGAAGCTTTTTCCACAGTCCATGCATTTATAGGGTTTTTCCCCTGAATGCATCCTTTTATGGGATGTAAGGGAACCACTATGACTGAAACTCTTTCCACACTCCAGGCATTTATAGGGTTTCTCGCCTGTGTGGACCCTTCTATGGGAAGTAAGCTCACTGCTTGTGCTGAAGTTCTTCCCACACTCTATGCATTTATAGGGTTTCTCTCCTGTATGGATTCTTTTATGAAAAGTAAAGGAACTGTTCATACTGAAGCTTTTCCCACAGTCCATACATTTAAAGGGTTTCTCCCCTGAATGGATCCTGTTATGGGAAGTAAGGGAACCACTGTGACTAAAGCTCTTTCCACACTCAGTGCATTTATAGGGTTTCTCTCCTGTATGGACCCTTTTATGGGAAGTAAGCTCACTGCTTGTGGTGAAGCTTTTCCCACACTCTGTGCAGTGATAGGGTTTCTCTCCTGTATGGATCCTTTTATGAAAAAGAAGGGAACTGTTCATACGGAAGCTTTTTCCACAATCTATGCATTTATAGGGCTTTTCCCCTGAATGGATCCTTTTATGGGAGGTTAGATTACCTCTCCACCTAAAGCTCTTTCCACAGTCCACACATTTATAGGGCTTCTCCCTTCCATGGATCATTTTATGGGGAATAATGTTACTGTTATTGCTGAAGCTCTTTCCAATTTTGCACTGGTTACTGAAATTGGATTTTGCTGGGAGTATTTTTCCACTTCCTCGATACTTTCCCATACTTCTTTCTTTGCAATCACGTTGGGTCAGGAAGTGATCCATTTCCACATATTCAAGAGTGGATTTTTCTCTCCAGTTGTAAGATTGGTTTTTCTCATATCGTCTCCTTTCCCACTTATTTGCAGAAGTCTCTTCTGGTATTTCAGTTTTGATTATTTCTGATGGCACTACACTTGGCTCTTGGCAATTTTCATTCACCTGCTCATCAACTGCTTGAGGGAGAAGAAAAAGAAATCAGAAAACTCTACAACATACAGTTTGCCACCCCATGCCATTCCCTAGCCTGTATCTATTCCTGGGCATCTGCAGGGGGAGCAAGAGGGGAAATGACAGCATGAATGCTATTTATTAATTGAAAAGATTGGCACGGCTGCTCATCTCATGTGATTCTTAGTGGTTAACAACAATTGAAAACAAGAACATAATGCAAAATAACAACAAGCAATGCAATGTTTTAACATCATACGCACTTCTGTCAGATACAATGCACATAAGTTGTATCCATTCCATAACATATACATAATTGCAACATCATTCTAAGAGGAAATATGGTGCTGATCAGGACAAGTGAAATAAGCAAGAGCATCCCTTCCCTAAATATCTTCCCAGTAGCTCTGCAGTATTGACACAGGCCCCAAAGACGATCCCAAGACTGCTTGTCAACCCTTTCCAGACTGATCTCTTTCTTCTAAATGAAACTGTGGTACTTAGAAGACTACAGACATGGACTGGAATTAATGTAAGAGGGAAAGAGAAAAGAGATGAAATCATTTAAAGACCCGCACAAACCTCCTAAACTGTAAATAACAGAAAACAGTCTAGTGACTCCTCACTCTGACTTAATTT